TGATAGATAAATCACTTTCAATTTCTCTGTATCTTTATATTTTAGATATTTCTTATAAATAGCAGAAAGACAGATGGGTTTTCTTTATTTTTATCCAGTCTAAAAATATTTTATCTTTCAACTGGAACATTTAATCCATTAACATTTACTGTGATTACTATTATTTGTGTAGCAGTCTTCCATTTTATGTGTTTCATTTGGCTCATACGTGCTTTTCAACATCTGTAAAGATTCTTTATCATTATACTTGTTTTCCCTCTGTGCCAGTTTGGCTCTGTTATACTCTGTTTCCATTTAGTTATTTTCAGAATTATATCATTCATCCTTGTCAAAGTTCAGTGTTAATGAATCTGCACTCGGCCCTGCTTGAGCTCCATTTACTGCTTTCTCAACTTTGGTTATTGTTGCCATACTTTAATTTTATTTACTTCTTAAACCCACATGATACTGTTTTTACAGTGGTCATTAAGATGTATCTTCATATTTACTTTTTTCTGGCTTACATTGTTTGATGTATCTCAGACCTTCCATCTTGGGATCATTTTCCTTTCATCTGAAGTGTATCTTTAGAAATTCTTTTAATATTAGTCAACTGGTGGTACATTCTTGCCTTTGTTTCTCTGAAAATATTTTTATTTTGCCTTTATTCTTTTGTATGTATGAGAACATTTTATTCTTTTGTATGTGTGAGGATATTAAGTTCCACTCTCCAAGCAGATTTCAATTAATACAATACAGTATAATCAACTACAGTCACCATATTATACATTAGATCCTCAGACTTTATTCATCTTAAAAGTGGAAGTTTGCACCCTTTTATCAACCTCTCCCTATTTCTCCCGTCCTCCAGCCTCTGGCAGCCACTTTTTTCCTTGCTATTTCTATTTCAACTTTTATTTTATTTTATTTTTATTTATTTTTATTTATTTTTAATTCCACATGTAAGTGATACTGGGCAGTATTTGTCTTTCTCTGATTTTGCCTTTGTTCTTGAAGGATATTTTTATTGAGTGTAGAAGTCTGGGTTGGTAGTCATTTCAGCACATATAACATATTATACAATTTTCATTTCTGTTGTTGGTATAAAAGAAACTGCTAATCCATTCTTTTTTTGAAGTTAACTGTTTTTATTCTGGCTGCTTTTAAGATTTTCTCGTTTGTCTTTGGGGTTTTCCATAGTTTCATAGTAATATATCTTGGTATGAGTTACTTTTTTATTTATCTTGCTTGGGATTTGTTGGGCTTTTTACGATGCCTTTAATCAGTTCGAATTAAAATAATTCTTACTAACAAACGTAGAACTGAGAAATTTGTCTTCTCTCCTCATTCTCTTTGTGACTTTGTCTTTTTATTCCTTCACTGTCATTTTAGGCGTGTTTTGGGGGAGAGCTGTATATATGTTATTTCACATCTTCTTACTTTCATACTGCCTGCATTTTTGTAAAAGTTCCATCCACCTTCATCTGAATAGCTGTTTCCTCAAGAGTAAGAAATGTGCTTTCTTCCTCAGCTAGGATAATAAATAATTTTGCTTTTCTTCTTGCTTTTTCTATGGGAGGAGAGATTAGGATGAAAACAACTTGATTTGTTACATTTGTAGCAGTCCGGGATGTGCGTCTAAGTTAATTTCTACTTATGTGCATTTGTTCTGCCACATTTACTAAATTACGATTCTTTTCCATATCTTGTATTATTTCTGGCTTGCTGTATAGCAAATTCTTATTGCTGGTTTGAATCAATTTCTGGAATAATTCTGTTATTTTTCAGTGCAATAACCTATGGTATTGATAATGAGCACTTGTGATATGTAAAAGTGACTTTGTTTTATTAATTTCTCTTGAATGCTAATAAAATTAGCCTCTAATGTACCTCTTTATTGCAGACATTACCTATTTCAGAAGGGTTAGCAAGTAGGGAGGAAAACCTTGGAGCAATCCCTGACACGTTTTATACACTCTTATCCTGACTAACACACTATTATACTCTGATAGGCAAAATGAAAGCTGTTTTAGCCCTGGAAGAAAAGGGAAGGGAAGGCTGGAGAGAAAGGAGGAGCAGTTAGAAGATGCAAAAGCCAGGGAGAGGCCTTAGAGATCACCTGGTGAGGCAGGGTCCCAGCCTGGCTGTGCATGCGAATCCCCCAAGGAGCTTTCTTTTCTTTCTTTTTTTTTTTAAAGATTTTATTTTTTTTATATTTTTTAAAGATTTTATTTATTTATTTGAGAGAGAATGAGAGAGAGAGAGAGCATGAGAGGGGGGAGGGTCAGAGGGAGAAGCAGACTCCCTGCTGAGCAAGGAGCCCAATGCGGGACTTGATCCTGGGACTCCAGGATCATGACCTGAGCCGAAGGCAGACGCTTAACGACTGAACCACCCAGGCACCCTTTTTTTAAGATTTTATTTATTCATTTGAGACACAGAGATACGGGGCGGGGAGAGGGAGAGCATGAGCAGGAGAGAGGCAGAGGGAGAGGGAGAAGCAGGCTTCCCGCAGAGCAGGGAGCCCGATGTGGGGCTGGATCCCAGGACCCTGGGATCATGACCTGAGCCGAAGGCAGACGCTTAACCATCTGAACCACCCAGGCGCCCCTCCCCAAGGAGCTTTCATCTGTGTGTCTGTGAAGCTCTCCCGAGGTGATTCTGTGGTGGGCAGCCAGTTTGGAGAACACTTGATTTTTGTTAACTTTCCTTTCTCCGCCAGGCTGTTACAGAAGGTAAGCTGAGTCCGGAGATGCTAATTGCGACTCACACGGCTGGGTTGGAGCCTCGTACACTGACCTGAGCGTAGGCTGTGAATTCCACAGACCTAGGTTCCATTCCTAGGGCTCTGGCTGTGCAGCTTCCTGTACTGTTGACTAGTGGTTACAGTACTAGTCCTGGTTGTACTACTCACTAACGGTGACCTTGGCCAGGTGATATAATTTGCCTAAGGCTTGTTTTCCTCATTTGTAAAATGGGGATAATGATGGTCCCTATTTTGTGGAGTCGATATATAGATTAAATGAAAATATGTATGAAATGCTTAAAACAGTGCCAGATACTCAATGAATGGTAGTGTGGGTTGTTACTAGTTAGAACAAGAACCCGTCTTTGCAGCGTATTGAATTGCCTCATCTCTTTTGCAGAAACTTCTTATTTAGGATTAAGTCCTAGTCTCTTTTTCCCTGTGATGATGAAATATACCAACAGGTGTTTACTCTCTTCTAAAGTTGTGTTTAGGAGGTTTACTCTATGTAATTTGCATGAGTTTGCTGTGTCTTAAAATCTGATGGTTAGATTTTGCCAGCTAATGATTGCTGTAGAAAAGTCTGTTTTACAGACACAAAAAATGCTCCTAAAAATCATGGCTTGCTTGTTTTGTTATTTGGCTCATACAGCTGTGTCTTCTGTGTGCTCCAAATGCCATGACTTGAGTGGTAGATAAGCATTTTCTCTTTCAAACAGTCTTATTATCATCAAGGACTAGGCCAACGATCTACACTTAACATCATAGTCGTAACCAACACAGATTTAAAATGTAATCTGTAATTGAGATTTTGCTCAAGTTGCAGAACGAATAGAATCAGAACTGGAGAGGACCATAAATATGATCTCAAAAGTAATTCATAGAAGAGCTGTTTGGAAGTATTATGGAAGGGATACACACGACCCTGTTATTTTAGTTTGAAACAATTGTCAGGATTTTTTTCTTTTTTAAAAAAATATTTTTTCTAATAAAAGCAATATATGTTCATAGTTAAGACTTCCGATAGTGTAGAAGGATGTGAAAGGAAACAGGACCTCTGCCCTCCCATTGTTACTCAACAAGGGGGCAGGGGTTCTTTTGGGTATCAATCTAAAATATTTTGCTGGCTCTGGCTTTGGGGCCATGCTGTAGAATCTTTTAGAGGGGGTGAGGAGGAGCAGAGGGAGATGGAGAGGAGAATCTTTTTTTTTTTTATGTTATGGTAATCACCATACATTACATCATTAGTTTTTGATGGGCAAGAGAGAATTTTTTTTTTTTTATTATTTGAGAGAGAGGGAGAGAGCAGAAAACAAGCAGAGTGAGAGAGAGAAAACAAGCAGAGTGAGGGGCAGAGGGAGAAGACGACTCCCCCACTGAGCAGGGAGACCGATGCGGGACTTGATCCAGGGACTCCAGGATCATGACCTGAGCCGAAGGCAGTCGCTTAACCAACTGAGCCACCCAGGCGCCCTGGCAAGAGAGAATCTTAAGCAGTCTCCATGCTCAGCATGGAGCCTAACATGGGGCTCGATCTCATGATATTGAGATCATGACCTGAACCTAAATCAAGAGCTGGACTCCTAACTGAGCCATCCAGGCACCCCCCATGCTGTAGAATCTTAAGAATAATGAGAAAAGTATCGACAGATTGAATTCTTTTTAAGTTAGAATTCATTGAATGAATGGGGCAGGAGAAGAAATAGCAATTACCTGGGTAGGAACTGACCAGACAAGAATGAAAGTATTTGGCTTTTCCACAAGTGTTACATACAGCACATTTTACTGCTTATAAAATAGTCTAGAATGTAGAAGCCATCAGAGCTCCTGAGTCGGCATAGTATTTTGAGTCTTCCAGTATCTTTTCCAGGCTCTACCATCTCATTCATTCCATATGTAAGTATAGTAAGCATGGAGATCATTTTTCCAAATTCACAAGGCTGAGAGGTCACAAAGGAGATAGTGGGGGCTGAGTACAGCCGACACTGACACTAATAACCTACAGCTTAAAAACGTGCAAGAGGGAGAAAAGGCAAGAGGACTGACATTCTGAGAGGCAGACATAGTCCTTCACTTGGTTTGAGGGTAGGTGGAAGAAGAATATAAAAATCAGTGGTTCACTATAAGGACCCTAAACCAAATCCATAAGTATTTATTTACAACATTTTTATTTCTGTGAAATAACAGTTCATAAGGCTGAATGAGGCTTTATTGTATGTGTAATATCAGTAAATTTCAAAATCCCAATCAAAATTATTTTATTTTTGATTTTCAGTTCCACTTACTTACATGATAATTTCGAGAGACGTAATGCTGATAGCTGCTGTTTTTTACATCAGATACCGAACTCTTCCAACACCGGTGAGTCTGTTTAAAAAAAATCCTTTTATTATTACTTACAACTTAAGGCAAAAAAAAAAACTCCAAAAACCCACTGTGTTGTATCCTGAGTTCCACTTTATGGGAGTAATTTATGGCCATTATTTTTTGATCCTTTTTTCAAGAATTTTTTAAAACCACACATAAGTGTGTCCTCTTGCTATTTGAATCACCCACAATGGTAGTTGTTCAGTGAAAACATGAATGATCAATTTTAAAAAGGCATGTATATGAGTCAAACCTTTTTAGTTGATAGCACAAAAAACCCAGACCAACTCCGCCCTGTCCCTAGCAGCAAACGGTCAGGAGTGTTTGTGTAACCAAGCCCCTTTGCTGCTTGATTTAGCCCCTACCATGGATTGTCTGGAACTAGTTTTTAAAATCACAGTTGTATGAACACAGAATGGTTTGTTTGCATATTTATTCATTGCTGTATAGATACTTGAGCACATAGGCATAGCATAATAACCTTATCCTTTGGTTCTGGATCCAGTGAAAATAGGACCTTACTCATTTCATTTTTTTAGCCTATGAAAAAAAATAGCAATAAGGGAGATTTATTGAGTTTATTTAGAGAACAGATGTCGTCAGGCAGACTTTAGGATAGTTACTGTGTTCGAGTTTTCTAGGGATTGAGATCTATAAATTAAAAAAAAATCTGCTTTCAGTAACCTGTGTATGATTTATAAGGAATATAGACACTGCTCATTTAGGGTAATAAAAGAAGATGCAGATAAAGGGCTTGTCTAGCATGGAGCCAGGCATGTGATGTAAATATTCAGTAACTCTTACCTACATATAATAACAAAATGATTGTTTTAAACTTGAATGATAAATTGAATAAACTTTATCTTTTTGTCCTCTGCCAGCGAACCCTTTCTAAGTATTTCAATCCTTGCTATGCCACTGCTAGGTTCAAACCAACCTTCATCAGCAAGGTAAGAGACACGCACATCCTTTCAAGTTATTCCCTGGTAAATGTTTATTATAATGAATATAAACCTCAGTCTACAGCCGCTGAAAATGAGACCTATTTCAGTGCACTGACTGTAGGAGATAGAGTGAGGTCATTAACCCAGTTCTTTTGTCCTTTGAGCTTTTTGGGTCTTTAGTATACGCATTGTGTTTTGCATTGGTGGTCTGAGCATTTAAGTTGCCGAATGAGGTGTTAGGGTCACCGTTTGGGAAGGGGAAGGGGGTGGAAATGGAATCGCGTCTTGGTTGAGCTACAGAGAAATTAGGGAGGTTCCTTTGTAGTTTCATTACCCTCCTTCCTGTGGTGAAAACACCATAAAATCGGGCCCTTCGTTTTCACCATTGATTATTACATGGAAAGGATAGGAAAAAGTTGTACTTACTAATAAACAGCTGCTACGCTTCGTTATGCGTCCTGTTTTCCCGAGCCGCTTGCAGCACAGTAACTGTGCCAGCCTTTGCAGACAGAGAACACACCATTAATGACTCTCAGGGCGTTTCTGTTTTCCTAGTAGCCTTGGTCAGTTCGTTCTAATCATCCTTTTGTCCTGTCCCTTGTGACAGAAGTTTAACAGGTTAGGGACACAGATCATCTTTGGGACAGAGGGGTTGTTACTCTTATACCTAAAACTCCCTGGGGTGGACTTTTACCTACATTTATGGGGTTTTGTTTTTTGTTTTTTTAGATTCAAGTGACTTACATTTGTATCAGGTACAGCAGTTAGAGTGTAGCACTGCTTAGAAAGGGACTCAGGTGCAAGAAGTTCTCCAGACAATTTTTTTATTTAATTTTTTAAGATGAAGTGGAATCCTTGTCTGTTGGTTGCAGAATGGACGGTAGAACAGAGATGCTTCTTGCACATTTCCCACGGCTTCATCCTTCACACCCTCTTCCCCAGCACGCTTCTCAGGATGAGTAGGCAGTCTCCAGCGCATTTTTGGTTCTGTTTTCATCCTTCTCTCCTCTATGCTGTCTTGTAGGGTAGGGGAACATACTTATTTTCTCCAGAGCCTCTTCTCATGGAGATGAATGCATTTCAATTTTCTGACCTCCTAGGGTTTGACATTTGGGCAAATGAAGGAGAGCACTGGATGAAGTGCTGGGGAGTCTGGGTTCTGGGTTCCATCCTGTAACCTGCTATGACTGCAGGCAAGTCACTTAGCTCATTACATTTTCACCGGTGAAGTGGTAGCTTTATTATTTCCATATCCACAGGGCTATTTTAACAGACAACTGAAAAAAGGCCAAGAACATGGCAACATTATTGAATTGCTCTGGAAATTCAAGGTAGTAGTATTTTCTGACAGATGCCCTTATCCTCACTGTAAAGGGCACCTGTGCAGACAAATGAGCCAGTTAGTAAAGTTGCCCCTTGAGTGTGAATGCCAGCTTCTTTGGCAAGGATATTACGACACCAAGCACGCCAAGGGTACGTCATGTTACAGCATGATGGGCTGTGCCTTTGTCTCTTGAGCTTGAAGCAGGATCTCCTTGGCACTGTTTATTCATGACTTTTTTTTTTTTGTTTTAGGTAAACACAGCAGTCCAGTTAATCTTGGTGGCAGCTTCTTTGGCAGCTCCGGTTTTCAATTATGCTGACAGCATTTATCTTCAGATACTGTGGTAAGCTAAATGTAGAATTACTCTCTGAGAATGTCAACAAAATGGCTTATTGTGACAGTCTTAGAATTACTTCGTTCTTACCATGTTTATGGAGCACCAACCGAGTAAAGTTGGGGGCTATATTTTATGACTGATACTATTCTGAAGTTTACTATCATGCATGGGATATAGAAATTACAGGAGTTTTCATGCAAGTTAAAAGGGATGAGAGATATAGATAAAGTATTGGGGTTTTGGAGGAGGGAAGGATACTTGATTCCAGGAAGGGAGAAGAAGGAAAGCCTCAGAAAGGAAGTGGCATTTGAGCAAGAGGCCTAGTGGGTTTAGACAGGGAGAGACTGGGGGAGGTTACTGGGGGTGAGGACGGACTCTGAGCAAGGTCAGGTATAGGAGAGTGGGTAGGGGAAAGTGCATCCAGCCTAGTGGCGCAGGGGCATAGTGGGAGGGAAACTTGGAGAAAAGAGTTTTTTATTTTATTATCCTTACTTATAGCTTTGAAATGTATCACCGTGAAAATATGTCGAATACAATCTGTCAGAGTCCAGATGTGCCACACTGAACTTGAAGCACTGTATTTTAGTACACTTTAACTCTAATTAAAGCCTTGCTTGATGCAGTCTGAGCCAGAGTCAGTTAAGCTAAAGAAGCTTTAAAGATGGTACACACGCTAAACCTTTTATTTTCTAAAATATATGTGTACATTTTGTCTTATTCATCCTACATCTTTTGATAGAGGACCGATGCCTTTTTTTTTGAGTATCGGTCTGTGGGAGTTTTTCTTGACTAAACTACATCCATAATACAACCTCTCTCTGATGTTTTTATTTTCTGTTTCTGTTTCTTTAAAGTGATATAGGAACTTAAGACATTTACATAGCAATCTAAGTATAGAAACTTTCTAGATTTTTACCATTTTTCTCCAACCTTTCAACAGTCATATTGCCTACTTTGACAGTAGTTTTTAGCAACTCACCTTGTTATAAAGTATTTCCAAAGTATCCCACTTAGTTCTCAAATACAGCAGCTCTTCCAGCATGTATGTTGCGTTGGTTCACGTGTGAATTTAGATGATCAAACTGGCACAGACAGCTTTGGGATCAAACAAAAATAGTTTCCATGATCTCCTGCTCAGCTGGTGGAAGCAGACACGCACGGTGCACTAAAAAGGAACCTGCTAGGCCATGAGCACTCAGCAAGCCATGCACATCCCTCATGGAACTTCGAAGAGAATCTGGTGAATCTGGCAGTTAACTTAAGGAAAAATCATTTAAAAAAAAACAAACAAAAGCTGGATTTTATTTAAAATGACTCAGATATTCGAATTCTGCAGGAAATAAAAGCCCGATACCCTCGGCAGCAGGGAGCAGTGGAAAGAGCACAGGGGCTCTGGACGAGGCTCAGACGCGGTTCTGTGGCCCTGAGCAAAGTTCCCCGGGGCTTCATCTGCCTCTCTGTAAGAGAGGGTTGCTGTGAAAAGAAAACGGTGGCGTGGGGCGCCTGGGTGGCTCAGTCGGTTAAGCGACTGCCTTCGGCTCAGGTCATGATCCTGGAGTCCCGGGATCGAGTCCCGCATCGGG